GTGAAAGTAATAAACAATACTAAAGCATTAAATCAACTCAATGAAGACAAGAAAGTCTTTTTCTGAGTAGGAAAGTAATGCATCTCAACTCCTACCTCACACCATACAACAACAATTTGAGATGAATCATAGAACTAAATGTAAAAGCAAGAACCAGAAATCTTCTGTAAAAAATATAGGTGCACATATTCACTACCTGGACAAGACCCAAAAAACACTAGCCATGAAAGACGACAATTGATAAATTGGATGTCACCAAAATTAAAACACTCTGTTCACCAAATTCACCATTAAAAATATTTAGGTAAATCACAGACTGAGGAAAAATATTTGCAGTGCAGAAACCTGACAAAGGACTCATATCTTCAGGAATTACAAGACAATTTATAAATAATTACTACAACCAGAAATTTAAACAACTCCATTAAAAAAAAAACTTGAATAGGTGCTCCTCAAAAGATCTAAGAATGATCAATAACCACAGGAAAAGGTGCTCAATATTATTAGTTACAAGAAAAATGCAAATTAAAACTATAATGAGAAATCTTTTCACACCCATAAGAATGATTAAAGTAAAAAAAATTTAAAAGTCTAATACACCAAAAGTCTGAGAGATGTGGAGAAACTAAAATTCTCACACCTTTCTCTTGTGATTATAAAATGGAACAACTACTCTGAAAAGTTCTTGGGAAGTTTCTTATAAAGTTATTTACTCATCTACTTTATGACCCAACAATTCCACTCTTTGGTATGTATACAAAAACATATGTCCATAAAAGGATTTGAATGTGAGTATTCATAGCACATTCGTTCAAAATATCAAACAGCAGGAAAACAACACAAGTATCAATCAACAGGAAAATGGATAAACAAATTGTACTATATTAATCTAAGAGAATACTACTCAGCAATAAAGGAACAATATGAGTGAATCCCAAAAACATTATGTTGAGTTAAAAAAGTCAGACATTGACATACACAAAACACACACACACTGGAGGATTCCATTTACGTAAAGTCCAAGAATAGACAATTCTAATCTATGGCAATAATAATCAGAAAGAAGTTATTTTTGGGGCACTTGGATGGCTCAGTTGGTTAAGGAACCAACTTCGACTCAGGTCATGATCTCTTGCTGTGAGTTTAAAGCCCCATGTCAGTCTGTGCTGACAGCTCAGAGCCTGGAGCCTGCTTGGGATTGTGTGTCTCCATTGATCTCTGCCCCTCCCCCACTCACACTCTGTGTCTCTCTGTCTCTCAAACATGAATAAACATTAAAAAAGAAAGAAAGAAAGAAGTTGCTTTCAAGGAGGGAATGGGGGTAGTTGATTGAAAAGGGGCATGAAGCAACTTTCAGGGATGATGACAATGTTTTAATATCTTGCTTTGAGTGGTGATTACACCTACATATGCAATGGTCAAAATTCATTAAATTTTGTTTTATTCTTCAGTTGGGGAGAAAAAAAGATGCTTCACCAAGAAAACATTTTAAAAGAAGAAAAGTTATTGCAAGAAGCATGTAATTAGTAGAAAGAAGAAAACTTGGTGTGTCAACAGACTTACCTAAAATTTTTTTCAATGGCAATATTTTTTCAAGTGTTTTGAAGTCCTTTTTTTGAGTTCCAAAATAATTTTATTTTCAAATATAAGTAAATAAACCCACCCTTGTGAATTCATTTAAATAGAAAAACTCAGCCTTGTGGGTCAATATAGTGGAGAAAAACAAAGAATAACCAGTAGCATATAAATATTTCAGTGTCTGTTAATTGAAAATAGAATGCTTCATAATCTGGACATTTTTAAGACACAAAAGAGCCCAAAGAGGCAAAGGTAAAAAGATCAAACACAAGATGCAGAACTAACAGCTGTGACTTAGTGAGTTAATAAATATGCTGAATAAGTCAAACTCAACAAAGCACTGCAAGTTGGTAGCTTCCAAGTAATTAACACACCAACCAGAAACACATGCAATGTGTAATCAGGCCTATCTCATTTTGAAAGCAAGGACTCTTTGGTTACAATGGATATTCTCCATTAATAGGTAGTTATGGAAAGTATGTTAGGTAAAGGCATGCATGAAGCAAAGGGAAGTAACCTAACTTGCTCTATCTAAGCAGTCTTTGTTTGCAGTGAATGAGATGAAAGTTCTGTTTTCATTTCTATCTATTCTATCATTTCTATTTATTCTTTCTCATTCTTCTTACAATAAGACTGAATACATCTACTACTAACACCTGGGCAAATAAATGTAAATTCATGGATAACAGTTGTATTTATACTTTTGTTTCCAAGGCTCATCAACAGTTTCAAGAGTGAAATGATCATTTCAACCATGTTATTAATTTCTAATTAGTAAATAAAAAAACGTATTTGAATACTACCACAAGTCATTCTAACTTCACATTTCCTACATTTCCACACATAAAGCCAGAATTAGCAGACACTTTAGAGGATTAAATCTGTGATCAAAATATAGGCTCTTATATAAGCTAACCAATAATTATCTTTTCTTTGAAACAGTTAACTCTTGACAATGTTCCATCTCTGATACACCTGTGACTTGTCAGAGCACACCAGGGAGTCTGTTACACTGTCCATCTAGCTATCCCCCATCCATGCCCTCTAGTCTCTAAACCCTCTCTTGAAATCATGTGTCTGACCTATACTCCCTCATAATTACCTCCACTTGAATCTTCTACTTCCTGCTCTCTGCCATGAATATGGAGCCCAGAAGATCAGAAGAAATAAGTAAAACACCAAAGTCTTTGAGACAAAAGTAAGAGTAGTCCAAGTGAGGTTATATTATTTTCCAACTATACACCTTAGCTGCTACTGTTCTATTACATACATACTTTCAGGCTGCACTGGTTCAAATTTAAATACCATCATCATTGGTTTCCTGAATTTCTCACTTCATTTTTTTTTCCTTCCTAAATCATCATTATAACATCTAAGAAAGGAAGGTAGAATCAGTTGCCTTCATAAACATTTAATAATGGACAGAACCAAGGAATAGAGTCAAAAGGAATTTCTGGCTTTCATACTACCAATACTTTTTTTCAGTTTACCTAAAATAAACTAAAATAGAATAGAGAATGCAAAGAAGGATTTACAGAGTAAGATCCCTTAGAATTGGTTAGATTACAAATATGTAGAAAGAAAATCTGCTTTTTATTCACTGAGTGGCTAAATGCATTTACATTAGATAGTTATGCTGATGTAAAAATAAATGTGTTTAGTAATGGATGTTAACATATATATAAGATAATCTCCTACCTAAGTAATTAAAAATGCTGAAAATGTAATGGCTGCACAAAAACACTAGAAACACCTTCATATAATGAGAGAACAAGTGAAGATAAATGTGACATTTAGCATCTAAATCTGGCTTTAATGAGGTTTATGTCTTGAAGCAAATGAAGTAGATCAAATTTTTCTGGAAGAAAAGAAGGGATCTTTGAAGACACTTCCTCTTCCACACAGTTGGACACTGTGAAATGTTACCTTGCCAAAATGAACTTGTAAGTTCCATCCTCATACAGATGTTGTACAACCTCAAGAAGATTTTTCTAACCTCTGAGCAGGAGGAGACAACTATTATACTGAAGGGAAAAAAAGGAACTTGAATCAGTTGTACAATTAGCCCCTTGTAGTGTCAACAGCTTTATTCATAACACAATATCACATTCCCTTGAAATTAATGATGGTTACATGAAACTATTTATATGAAAGTATTCTATAAATATAGTGAATATTTAAGGTCAAAATGCTATTTATTGATGAGGATGATTATAATGAAAATAAACTAAAATAAATCATCCTGAAGAAGGTAAGATATCAAGCAAATCATTGCTCATTTAGACCAAAACAGTCTTAAAAAGAGACATTTGTCTTACAAATTGGCTCAAAGGATTTGCTCATACTATATATCTAAGTGGATGGTGAATGGCATTGATTGGATCCAAAGTCCCCCTCTCTTGGATTTTATGAGGCCCATTCAGAATGAGCCAGGTTGAGAACACCACCAATTCCATGTTCTGAGTCCATCTGTTGGCAAAAATATAATGCAAACAGCTTTATAAGTGCTATTTTCAATGAAATATCACAGAACAGCTTGTCCCAATGATATTTCTAAAGCTTGCCTGCAAACCGCCTACTGGAAAATCCAACTGAAAGAGAAGAGGGAAGAGAAAGAAACCCATACGTACAAGTGACAGAAACGAAAAAAGGACAAAAGGTAGAGAGAGACAAGCTAGAGAAAAGTGAGCACTGGAGAAAAATAAGGTGCAATGAGGGGTGCAATATTCAACATGGACAAAAGGAGGGGCGCCTGGGTGGCTTAGTTGGTTAAGTGTCTGACTTCAGCTCAAGTAATGATCTCGCAGTTTGTGAGTTCAAGCCCCGCATCGGGCTCTGGGCTGATGGCTCAGAGCCTGGAGCCTGCTTTGGATTCTGTGTCTCCCTCTCTCTCTGCCCCTCCCCCGTTCATGCTCTGTCTCTCTCTCTTTCAAAAATAAGTAAATATTAAAAGAAATTTTTTAAACAAGGACAAAAGGCAACCACAAGGAATAGAGAATTTAAAGAAAATATATCGAAACAACTTAGGTTGGAAGATGGAGAGGTGATCACAAATAATGCAGCATGTCGAGAGAAGTGAAGACAAAAGGAGCATGAAAACCCAGAAAACATGTAATAGTTTAATAATTGGAGCATAATTATTAAAATGTAGTGAGAGAAAAGTGATATGAAATAGTCAATTTTCTAAGTTTCACTTGTTTTTTCACGTGATATATAAATTCATTTTTCCAAAAGCTAGTATGGATTTCAGTATCTGTCATCAACTCCAAGGTTAGGAAACATCCTCTTCCAAGTCTCTTCTTTTAATCTAAAAATCTATTTGCATATCATAAAATAGTCCAAGCATTGCAATATAAGCAGTATACATGCAATGATTCCAAAACAAAATACACTACTGCAGGTGATATCATCTGGGCACTTACCTGGGGTCGAATAACTTTTACAATATTTTTGAGGGCAGTGTCAGGGGATGGAGGTGAGCAGTCGGGTGTTGGGCCTGTTGAGCTGTTTCTATGGTTACTACTTCCTGGAGCAGTAATTGCTACCTCAGATGCATTATCTGTGAATAAAAATAGAACTGCCATAAACCTTATCACTCAGTTTACCTTTTAAGACTTGAAATTACTTTAGTGAACATGAATTGAGAATTCAGCTTAAAACTGGTATCAATTACAAGATCATAATGAGGAATATGCATAGCAGTATATTTTAAAGATAATGTTTACTGAATGCTTTACTTTCTTTTGGAATGGTAAATATCATACCCTGTAGTATTATTCCAAAAAGGAAGAGTATTATTATTCAATTCATGACAGATACCCAACACAGCTATTAAGACTGCGTTTACTATACAAAGGGCAAAACTTCACCTTAACTAAAAACAGTAAGATTTTTTTATATGATTGGGCTAACTTTTCCCCATAATCTTTCATATGGGTATTGATATTTATTAAAGTGGAAGTTTCATATCTTCCTGAGTCATAAAACCCAAATTCAAGCCTCCTGAAAGCACGTCCCCCAGAAATCCCTCAAACTATAGAGAACCATCCCGGTGAATTAAAATTGAGGGGCGCCTGGGTGGCGCAGTCGGTTAAGCGTCCGACTTCAGCCAGGTCACGATCTCGCGGTCTGTGAGTTCGAGCCCCGCATCGGGTTCTGGGCTGATGGCTCAGAGCCTGGAGCCTGTTTCCAATTCTGTGTCTCCCTCTCTCTCTGCCCCTCCCCCGTTCATGCTCTGTCTCTCTCTGTCCCAAAAATAAATAAACGTTGAAAAAAAAAATTTTAAAAAAATAAAATAAAATAAAATTGAGGAAAAACTGACATGTGTGAACAATGGTTTTACAATGTAGACTAACACAAAACAATCACACCCAGATAAACACATCTTCTATAATCAAGCTAATCGAATAAAATTTCAAAAATCTAAATTATTTCTCTCTTTTGCTCAGTATGAGGGTCAAAGGAAAAATAAAGTGATGACTTTAAAATCAGCAACATGCATAAAACTCTCTTCTTAAATTTTTATCGAAACAAAATAACAAAAAAGATGCAGTTTTAGAATGTTTAAATCACTTGGAAAAGGATGGGAAAGTTCCAAAAATAACTCTTGGTAGCACATAGAAGTTATATTATTTTAACAACAATTTGACAATCCTCTATAGCTTTGTTTGGAAACTGTTGCAAGCTCAAATCTAAAACAAATTACTTCCTTGTTATGTTTTTAATTAGTTCCCAATAAGTTTCTGTTCTAGACAGCTGAATTGATGCAAAGACTGAGACTGTCAATTCTTTATGGACCTGCAAGGTTTTGTATTCTATGGCCATTGCCTACAGTCCCAAGTAAAAAGTAGTAAGTAATGAAGATGCCTCTTGCTCATAAAAAGTGAGGGGATGAAAACTCTACCCACATAAAAACATAATTCAGTTTCACTGGGGAGTCCAGACATAGGCTTATGAAACAAAAATATATAAGTGTGATATATTGAATTAAATAGATCATTTATTAAATAAGTCTTAACAGTGTCCAGAGCTTACTCTTGACTCAGGTTTAATGGATAAGGTGAGATCTGAATTAGAATCTCAAGAAACACAGAGTTCCAAAAGACAGTAATATGGGGTGGTCTTCTGTCTAGGATATAATTGGTATGAGTAACTACTGAAACAGAGACAAAATATCAGTCAGCAAGACAATGAAAAGAAGTCCTGATTCTCTCCAATTTGTCCCTCCCTTTCATTCATTCAACCATACATCTAAAATCATTTATTTGGGGGCAACTATGTATCAGGTATTATGTTATATTCTAAGGATAAATGGAAAAGAGCCTCTAGGCAGAGGGTAGAGGGTAGGGAAAGATAGGTGGAGCACAGAGGACTTTTAGGGCAGTAAAACTATTCTGTATGATATGATAACAGTGGATACATGTCATTATACATTTGCCTAAACCCATCAAGAGTGAATCTTAGCATAAACTATGGACATTGGATGATAATGATGGGTCATTGTAGATTCACTGATTGTAACAAATGTACCAGTATGGTGGGTCATGTCCATAGTGGGGGAAGCTGTGCTTGTGTGGTGGCAGGGTACAAGAGAAACCTCGATACCTGATGCTCAATTTTTCTACAAACCTAAAACTGCTTTGAAAAATTAAGTTTAATAAAATGTTTAAAAATCCATGCCCTTAAGAAGTATACAGTCAAATATGATATCAGAATTGTAGACAAGGTATAATGCCATATAACTTGAGATTTTATAACAGATAAATGAAGCTTAATGAAAAAGCAAGGGAGGAACAATCATCAGACTGGCTGGGAAGGAAGAGGCTGTGAAAGCCTTCAGTTTTCAGGCAAGAAAGCTGGGACAGATCATAAAACATAAGGGCATGGAGATAAAAAGAGCATAGATAAAGATATTGTTTTATGTTAGGAAGAAGCTGGAGATAAGTTTAAATAAGTAAAAGGAAGTTTTGTTGGTATATAGTGTATATTTAATTCTGAAGTGATATAGTAATAATAATAGCTAATGTTTACTGAACTCCAGTGAAATAATGTTAGAGTCTTTATTTTCATTATTTATTCTCTCTTTTGTATATTCATTGTTGTCTTTCTGTGTTGCATTCTGAATAGCTTTTTATACTCATTTTCCAGTTTATTAGCTCTTTTTCGGCAATGTCAAGTCTGCTATCAAACTATTTTCTTAATTTCACTGATACTTCACATTTCTAAAATTTCTATTTGGTTCTTTTTCAAATATGCAACATCACTATTTGGCATTTTTCAGTTTCCTAACAATTTTTTTTTAATTTTTTTTTTTTACATTTATATATTTTTGAGAGACAGAGACAGATCATGAAGAGGGGAGGAGCAGAGAGAGAGGGAGACACAGAATCTGAAGCAGGCTCCAGGCTCCGAGCTGTCAGCACAGAGCCTGACATGGGGCTTGAACTCACAAATTGCAAGATCAAGACCTAGGCCGAAGTCGGATGCTTAACCGACTGAGCCATCCAGGAGCCCCTAGTTTCCTGACAATTTCAAGCTTGTTTTTATTTAGTGGAAAATAGCAAGCAATTATTGTTGTTGTTGTTAATCTGTGCCTGATAATTCCAATACCTGAAGTCTTTATGGATCTGTTTCTGTATCTCTGGCTCTCACTCATGGTATTTCATTCCATTATCTGTCTCATCTTCAATTCTGTGCTATTTGCTACTCAACTTTTGTTAGCACAAGATAAACAACACTAAATCCAATTCTTTGCCTTTTAGCAAATGCTACTATAAAAAAGCATACAAACTTACATTCTAATACCAGATAATGAAGTCTGTGGAAAACTTGTCTGCTCAATGTTGGACAATTTATTTAACCTCTCTGGACTTCAGTTTTCTTAACTTTAAAAATGAAAATGATCGGGGCGCCTGGGTGGCGCAGTCGGTTAAGCGTCCGACTTCAACCAGGTCACGATCTCACGGTCCGTGAGTTCGAGCCCCGCGTCGGGCTCTGGGCTGATGGCTCAGAGCCTGGAACCTGTTTCCGATTCTGTGTCTCCCTCTCTCTCTGCCCCTCGCCCGTTCATGCTCTGTCTCTCTCTGTCCCAAAAATAAATAAACGTTGGAAAAAAAAATAATAAAAATTAAAATGATTAATAACTGTCTAGAAGAAAGTTATTGTTTATGTGTGCAGATAAAATGAGAGAATACATATGAAAAGTAAATAGCATGCTATCAGGCACATAGCATGGGTTTTATTTTTCCCTATGAAGCCAAATATCAAAGAATAAAATAAAACATAGAAGAGGAAAGAAAATTTAGAAAGAAAAGCAAAAAAAAAAAAAAATTAAACACTAATGCTTTACAGATAATACATCTAGAGTAAAGACTGTGACTACTTGGGTAGATTTTGAGACCAATATTTGTTAGCTATTAACACAAATTGGTAGAGACAGAATTTAATTCCAGGGATAAGAGATAATCCCTTGAGGAATGATTCACTGCAAGGGCTGGTCCTGGTGACTACCCTTGTGACAAAGTCAGAAAAACTGAGGCGTATTTCATGCAGACTATAAGGCAAAAGCTTTTTAATGTTTCTTATAAGTAATTTAATACATAGTACAAGACAGTGGGTAATCAAGCACTAAATTATTTAGAAAAGACTATAAATGTCTCCATCTTCTGAATCCACAATCTGTACCATTACACTGATAATTTGATTTCATAGTACCTTGTATTGTTCATTATCTCTTTCAGACTAGGCTATATTTTTGCAGACACTTATATTTTCCTTATACCCTCCATGGCTCTTAGATTAATGCCTTTAAAAATACTAAATGAAATAAAGTGAATAAAGCAAAACCTGTGTGTCAATGGCAACCATCAAAAATGCCCTTGATTAAATGGAGAAAGGTGATCTGGCTTTTGTAATTCCACGGCCTTTTTTTTGGAGAAAATCCAAATGAGAAGCATAATTTATATATCCTTTATTATATAATTTATAAAAATACCAATTATCCAGTGGAATTTGCAAAATGACAGCCTGTATCCAAGACAGTTTTACATGGTCAACCTACATTTTACACCTGCAGCTACAAAACATTGCTGATGAAAAGGAAATGAGGTGTGTAAAAACTGCTTAGAGAAAATTACTAAACATACCTGCAATTTCGAATTGAAATAAGAGACCTATCTTTTAGTCAGTTTTTCTCACTACACATAGATTAGCATTATGACTGTCCACGTTCTCTAAAATAACAAGCTTAGAAAAAGTCTTCTAACTTACTTGAGCTTTTATTTTTTTTAATTATAATTTTTTTTAATGTTTATTTATTTTTGAGAGAGACAGAGACAGAAAGTGAGTGGGCTGGAGCAGAGAGAGGGAGGCACAGAATCTGAAGCAGGCTCCAGGCTCCGAGCTGTCAGCACAGAGCCTAATGCGGGGCTTGAACTCACGAGCTGTGAGATCATGACCTGAGCCGAAGTTGGACGCTCAACCAACTGAGCCACCTAGGCGCCCCAAGCTTTTAGAAGTATTCTGTGAATATGAAATAATTCATGTACAATGTTATAGAAT